TGTGTCACTAGGTTTCTGGTGTGTCAACTGGGAGGTGTGTACTGCGTCCACTTCACAGGATGATGTAGAGGTAACAAATTCACACACTTGAAGTATGTATACGGGGCCTTGCAAAGGTACATAGGTTTAGGGCAAGCAGGTGGGGTCTGGCTCTTTAAAGACAGAGGGAGGAGGGCTTTAGCTGGGGTGCTAACACATACACTGGCAGCTCAAGTCAACTCCAGGCGATTTGGGGAATTTCTCTAGATAAGAGCACCAGGGATGTTTCTTGCTTGGGGTGTCCACTAGTGCCCTGGGTTTCCTGCAGGGTAGGTGCCTCTGGACCTGCAGGCTTGCCAGGATTCCAAAAGAAGGTCAGCCCCTCTCCACTGCCTCCCAGCCCCTCCAGGAGTCCAGAAACAGAGAAATACTCGCCCCCATCCCTCCCTGCCCCAGGGCCACACCTTTTAAATTCATCCACAATGGTTCTGATGGGTCTCAGGAGGGAAGAGCAGGTAACAAGTGTCCCCCCATTAGGGAGGTCTTCACTACACTCACAGGCATCTGTCTCCATGTAGAGCTTGAGTAGGAAGTAAAAGATGGACATCAGACAACAGTGCCCAAGTCAGGCTGTTTCTGGAAAAACCACACAGGCAAATTTCCAACCATCTCCTATAAATACTTCTCTTCCAGTTAGTCAAGGCCTTCTTGTGGAGTTAGGAATTTAGAACACTTGATCAAAGGAAATTGGACAGGAGTTGTTTAGGCCCAGCCTGAGGCCTGCAGCATCACAGAAGCAGAGTAGACAGGAGGGGACTGCTGTGCTGCCAGATGATTCCTTCTTGAGGGAAGCTGCTGGGAATGTCTCTGTGGGAGCTCATCTCCAAGGTACCCAACAGTCACTGCCCACCCTGTACTCACAGACTACTGCTCACATCAAAAGACGGAGACCACTTCCCCTCCCCTGAGTCTGCACTGGCCCCAAGGCTTGCCTTATCCAAGGGATGTTCTAGGACTCCCAAGGACTGACAGCTCCCACTTCCTCCTCCTCGGAAGCCAGTCACCACGCTGTAAGGAAGTCTGCGATACGCTGCTGGAGACACCACAGAGAAATCAATGCACAGACGTGCAAAGGACACCTTATGGACCTTCCAGCCCATACTCCAACTGCGTGCAGCCACTTGAGATCCCTGGTGAGACCAGCAGGAGAGCAGCCCGGCCAGGCAATTTCCACTGCCCCACTTCCTGACCCACAGACTCAGGAGAAAGAATAAATCATTGTTGCTTTAGGCCATAATTCTTGAGATGTTTGCTACTAAGCTGTAAAGCTGTAGATAACAATACTGAACCAACAATTCTACATTTCAAAAGCTGAGACAGTTCCATAAGCTGTTGTCAAAGCTCTTTTAATTATTTTTTAAAATACCAGTACCAGGAGTCAATTCTGACTCATGGCAACCCCATGTGTGTCAGAGTAGATAGATCACCAGGCATTTCTTCTAAGGTGCCTCTGGGTGGATCCGAACTGCCAACCTTTTAGTCAGCACCCAACTGTGTTAACCATTTGCACAACCCAGGGATTCCGTAAAAATAACCTATTAGTACATACGTAGTATGTTACAGAACATTAGAAAATACGTAATAACAAAACATAATAAAAACATCCTATCCTTGAAAATATTTGCAAATCATATATCTGACAAGAGACTTGTAACCAGAATACATAAAGAACTCCTACTATTTAACAATAAAAAACTACCCAACTAAAAAATGGGCAAAGTTCTGAATAGACATTTCTCCAAAGGAGATATACAAATGCTCAATAAGCACATGAAAAGATGATCCACAGCCTTAGTCATCGAGGAATGCATATCAAAACCACAATGAGATACCACCTCACACCAGTAGGATGGCTAGAATCAAAAAGACAGATGATAACAAGTGTTGGTGAAGACATGGAGAAATTGAGGCCCTCACACACAGCTGGTAAGAATGTGAAATGGTGCAACTGCTTTGGACAATAGTCTGGCAGTTCCTCAAAAGGCTAAATGTAGTTACCATATGACCCAGCAATTCCACTCCTATGAAAACAATGTCCACACAAAATCATGTAGCAAATGTTCATAGCAGCATTACACATAATAGCCAAAAAGTGACCACAATCCAAATGATGAACGGATAAACAAGATGTGGTATACGCATATAATGGAACATTATTTGCCAATAAAAAGGAATAAAGTACTGAAAATGCTACAGCAAGGTTCATGGAGGAACCTTAAAAATATATGTTAAGTGAGAGGAGCAAGTCACAAAACCCTGCATATTATATGATTTCATTTATATGAAAGGTCCAGAATAGGCAAACCCATAGCGACAGAAAGTAGGTTAAGTGGTTGCCTAGGACTGGGGGAAATGGGGATGGCTGTTAATGGGTATTGTGTTTCTTTTAGGGGAGACAAAAATGCTCTAAAATTCATGGTGATGGCTGTACAAACAAACAAACAAACAAAAAAACCAAACCTGCTGCCATCAAGTTGACGCCGACTCATAGCAACCCTATAGGACAGAGTAGAACTGCCGCAGATTGTTTCCAAGCAGCAGCTGGGGGATTCGAACTGCCGACCTTTTTGGTTAGCAGTCAAACGCTTAACCACCGCGCCACCAGGGCTCCGACAGTTGCACAACTACTGAGGTGTACACTTTAAATCGGTGAACCATATGGTGTGTGAATTATATCTTAAATGAATAATTTCATAAATAAGAATTAGCACAAAGCCAACTCCTATCAGGCAGAGGTCAAATATATCCCAGATTTCCAACTTCTACAAGCTGCTGTGCCAGTCCGTTACTGACACCAGCCACTCCTCCTCCCCTCAGCACTTTTCCCTCCCCTGTCTGCATTCAGCAATTCACTGCAATGTCTCACAGAACTCATGAACTGTACTTACAGTTAAGTGGTTTATTAAGGAAGTAACAGGCTACAACTCAGGGTTTGGATCAGGAAGCACACAGACAAGGTCTGAAGTGAAGAGCACATCCCTCCCTTCCTCAGTGTGTGACAGCTCTCTAAGCTCCTCTTGGCCATGCAAGTAAGCAGGCCCTTTCTTTCAGCCATACAGGCCTCTCTGTGTTTGGACTTCCCGCCACTGGCCTCTCCACTGCTAACTGGCCCAGCTCATAGCCAGTGTAGCACCTTGCTCAGCTCTCTTAGATGGTTTCCTAGCAGCAGTTTTCTGCCTTCATGGCCGACTCTGCCTCAGGGTCTCTTCCAGGCCTCTCACTGTCTTCAGTGTTACAGCCCTTGACCTGTACTATGGCTCTTTTAGGAAGTTTCTCACTTCAGGTCTCAATTTCTCTCCTTGCCTCTGAAAAGCCTTTGTGGCGTTGGCTGCTTATATAAGCAAACTCCTTGTCAATTTCAAGGCATGGCCCTCCCAGCAGGACCACAAACTAACCAATCCTGAAAGTCATTCAATCCTACTGGGTGAATTTTCAAGCCAATATTTGCACAGCAAATCAACCAATCCCTGCAAGGTGTATAAAACAGACCAATCACAGGGAAGACTGAAACCCACGGACAGATAAAAAGCATCAAACGATCAAGTTGTTTAGTTTACCCAGGAAATGTCAATCAACCTGGACAACAATCTCTCTGGGATAGAAAACAACCTACCCCCCCCCGCCACAACCCCAGTTGCTTTTCAAAAGAACTAAGGCAAAGGTTAACTCCTCAGGGCTCAGGGGAAAAATCTCCCAAGGTGTTTTTACAAAGAACCAAGACAAAGGGCCACATAAAGGAACTCATGTCACCACATATCTCCATAAAGCTGTTAAATTTTTTAAAAAATTCCTATCACATGTATTCACTTAATTAAGAAACCTCTCCCTATAGTGTAGAGCCCGCTGCTGCCTGCCTCAGCTCAGTGCTCTCGAGCTCTTCCCTGTATGTGCTCACTTATACACACGTGTGCACTCCAGCCTCTAAGAGTAGGCTGGGCAGACTGTTTACTGTCTCATAATCTGCCTTCTCTGGCCAATGATCTTTACCTTTCCCTTTCAAAACAGTTTCACCTCATCTAAAACCTAGTCCACATTCACGTTTCCCCAACCTGCCCCTCCATGACTTGACAGTTTGTCCATACCAGTACTCAATTGGGGACCATAAATAGCATCTGCTTTGAATACTTGACACATGGTGTGTCTTTGAGTTCTGATACCACCATAAAGCATGAAGAGCTCAGAGCAGAGTTGATGCTATGAGGGCCCACGAGGCCTGCATGGCCCAGGAACTGGGGTGGGCGGCTCAGATGTGGTGCAGAACCAGAGGTTCACACATCAGCACCACCGCTGAGCTGGGAAACTTCAGCAAGTCACTTGGCTTCCTGGTGCCTCATTTCTAATGAAACCTCCCCCAGGAGAGTCAAGGATTAGAGGAGCTGATGCACAGAGCATGCAGCCTGGTGCCAGCTGGTCAGAGCTCAGGAAGCCGTCTCCCTCCACCTGCCTTTGATTGTCCTACTCCCACTCACGCCTTTCTCACCAAGCATCATCTTCATCGTTTAACAAAAGGGGACCCAGTCCCTTCTCAGACCCCATGTCAGGGCTGTGGGATTAAAGGTGAGAGGACCTCAGGAGGCTATCACAGAAGGCAGGTCCAGTCTCACACTCGTTGAGGAAGAGGCCTTGAGCACTCGTCCTCTAGGAGAACAGCTGGGTGGCCAAAGGAGGCCCCACAGGCCACACATGAGCGACCATGGATGAATGGGGCCAGCAGTGAGTTATGGGGTGAGGCTGGGCCTGCATCTTGAGGTCTTTGTGGCACCAGGCCCTTCCTGTAACATGGATACACCTTAAGATACACAGGGTACTGCAGGTAAAGCCGACAAAGCTAGATATCAAACAGTGAGCAGCCACCCCGCCCCTTCCCAGCCCCCAACCAGGGGCCTGCCAGAGTCAAAGTTGTACCCCTCCCACCTCACCAGGCCTCTCTGCCACATGGCTCCACCCCTGCCAGGCCTTACCCGGGTCTTGGCCTTCAAGAACACATGGCTCTCCATATCTTTGCTGGATTTACTGTGGGCCACGCCAGCCTTCCTCATGGCATCCTCACTGAAACACAAAAGGGGGAGAGATGTTTACACACTCAGCATGTCCCCTCCTGCAGGGGCCTTGCCAGCAGGCCCCACCTGGAAGCTGCCCCTGGACAGCCCTGGTGCTGTGTAACAATGGGGTCCTCCAGTTCCCAGCACACCTGCCTGGTAAAGGGCGGAGCCAGGCATGAAGGTTGGCACTCAGCAGAGCAATGAAAGGCAGCTGGGCAGGGAAGAGGACGTTCTTGGCAAGAGTGGGCTGTGCACAACCAGCATATCATCAGAGTGTGCACCAGAACGCTGGGGAGCTGGCCAGCCTCCACTGCCTGCCTAGAGTGGCCTGGCCCCCATCAACTCTGCCCAGATCCCTCCTCTGTAAATTGAAAGGGTCACATGAAGTCATATCTCAGCTCCTTCCAAGGTAAAGGTCCCTAGGGGGGATATGTAGGTTCTCCAAGTGAGATCAAGCCCCAACTTCAACACCTTCTAGCTAGGAACAGGAGACAGAGCACACATATATGAAAAACATCTTACAACTTGGATGAACCTTGAAAACATTATGCTGAATAAATAAGTCCGTCACAAAAGGAAAAATACTGTATGATCTCACTTATATGAAATAAGCAAATATATGACGTTGTTAGTTGCTGTCAAGTTTGGCCCCTGACTCATGGTGACCCCATGTTGCAGAATACACTGCTCCACAGGATTTTCTTTATAGAAGCAGAGCGCCAGGCTTATCTTCCACGGAGTCGCTGGTGGGTGAATTCAAACCAGCAACCTTTAGGTTAGTAGCCAATCGCAAACCGCTTGCGCCACCTAGGCTCCTTCAACAAATACATTGTTTTTGTTGTTGTTGTCAGTTGCTGTCAAGTAGATTCTGACTCATGGTGACCCCGTGTGCGCAGAGTAGAACTTCTCCATAGGGCTTTCAAGGCTGTGATCTTTTGGAAGCAGATCACCAGGCCTGTCTTCCGAGGTGCCTCTGGGTGGGTTTGAACTGCTGACTTTTCGCCTGGTAGTCAAGCACTCAACCATTTGCGCCACCCAGAGAGTCCTAAGCAGGTATATAGAAACCAAAATTATTAGTAGTTACCAGGGGCGGTAGGGAGGGGGATGGGGGAAGTTTTTGCTTAAGGGCCACTGAGGTGATGTTAATGCTGGTGGAAAAAGGACAGCAAGAATTGTTGTCCAGCTGAAGAATGTAATCAATGTCACTGAATTATACATGTAGAAATTGTCGAACTGGCGTATGTTTTGTTGTGCATATTTTCACAATTTAAAAAAAAGAAAGAAATACATCTTAAAAACACACGTACCAAGCCATAAACCTATGAATAATCAGAATGGAACCCTTGCACAGGTTCTTCATCACACTAACGCTCCACTGCGATAAAAAGCCACGCATGAGCTAAGCCCGAGCTCCCTTTGAACTGAAGCACCCCCATGGCCAGGCTGTGCTCTCCAGAGACCGCTGCCCTGGTCTGTGCATCGCCCGCCCTCTCCCGTAAAACTGACTTCCACCTGTGCCTGTCTCCCCAGCACCAGACTAGCTGAGAAATAAATGAACAAGTGAGAACTAAACTTACACAGGCCCGATCCAGCTGGTGCTAGAAAGCCAGCCTGCAGCTGAAAAGAATGGACACAGGGTTGCAGGAGCATGTCAGCAATCCTTAAAGAAACCCCAGAGAGCAGGCTTAATGCCAAGAGAAGTACACATCTATACTACAGAAAATGAAAAATAAAATGACATTGCTCCCCATCAATTGCTAGATAATTCATTTAACAATTGAAGTTCAATCTGGAGTCCAATCTCCTGCCTACTCCCTCAGGCCTGAACTCTAAGGCAAGGAGGCAGCACCCAGTCCCTGCTCACAAGGTACTTGTGTCTTGGGGGAGATGTGATCAAAGCCATGTGACAGACACGAGAGGAACAAGGCAGGACCCAGCCCGAGGAGCAGAGGATCCAGTGGTAGGGAAGCGAGGCATGGGCATGTCTGGGCCAAGAGACCAGTGAGCAGCTGCATTCCACACTTGGCAATGACGTGTCACATGGCAGACTCTAGAAGTCACTGAGCATTCCGGTTTCAGAAGACACGTCACCTGCACGGCCCTCCCCAGGACCATACCCGTTCCTCTTCACATCTTTTGACAAGAGCATTAAAATGGGACTGGGAGGCAAATCCTGCAAAACAGGAGACCTGCGAGGACAAACAGGGGGACCTAAAATGAGGGCAGTAAGAAGGCTTGTGATGGCCAGCTGAGACAGCCTGGAGGTGGTCAGCTGCGTAGGGAGAGGGGAGGCGACTGAGGGGGAGGCAGATGGAGACAGAAGCCAAGATGTGAAAACAGAGAGGAAAGCGCCTCGGGGAGGGGAGGGGAGTCTGAAGCTCAGATGGGTGGGTGCACAGGGCTCTGTGCCCTGAGAGCAGAGGGCAGTGGCCAGAGGGCTCAGCCGGGCTCTGACCCTGAGCCAGTGGCATGCCATTTCTGGTAGGATGCCCGTCACACCAGGCCCTGAGCATCCTCACTGCGGCAGAGCCCCCAGCGCATTGCACACAAGACACCGAAGAAAACGGCTTAGTGTGATGGTAGCCAGGCCCAAAGAAATGTGCTTGACAAGTCGATGGCAAAGTGGCACCAGAGGTCAGGGGATCTGCTGGGGAATGAGCCAGCCCACCCTGGTCAGTATAATCTCACAGATGACTCGGACAAGCGTGGGCACCAACTGTTAGTGACATAAAGCCTGGGGAGCTGACGGCACTGGAGGCCAGAAAGAGGTGTATCTTGACAAGCTACAAAAACCCACCTAAACAACATGGAACTGAACTGGGTAAGTGTTCCATGCTATGAGAATCAGCTGCAGAGGCCCCTCCTGCACGCCATCCCCCCCCACCCCCTTGCCTAGCACACCCACCTGCCCAAAGCAGGCCTTCACTTGTTTGCCGGCTGAGAAATGAACAACACTAGTCCAAGCACTGTTTTCAGGTCTGTGAACAGTATTTTTAAAAATGTCTTTGTTTCTAGTCTGAGGATGACGCTCCATAAAAGATGAGATAACAAAGAAACCAGGCAGTTCTGCTTTCTGTTGATAGCAAGAAGTCCTGCCCTTTCCTTTTGCGTGGTCTCAGTGAGCTCCCCATCCATGCTAGTTATGGTCGCTGTAATTCACACCTGGGACCTGACGGTGCACCCCTGCATAAGGCCGTGGCCAGGATACAATGAGGTCACCTGTGTGCCACAGTTAGAACAAGACCTCCACAAAGCACACGACCAAGGCCAGGCACTGGGGCTGGCAGTCCTCTGAAGGCCACCGCCCATTCTCACTGAGCTGAGCTTCGCTGGCTTTCCCCTTACCCCCTCACCCCAGGATGACTTCCTGAGTGGCCTCCGTCACTAAGAACAAACCCATCCAGCAAACTGCCCTGTATGGGAAGAGAGCTCAACACGGCATGAAAGTGAGAGCCTAGAGACAACCAGAGAACCAACGCAGTCGGGGGAGCTGCCTGTGCCAGAGACAGGCTGCCCATCTGGGAGGCCAGGGGGCAAAACCGACATCAGCTCATGAAAACGGCCCCCACTGGCCCCCCGTCCCAGAGCCACTCACAGAAGGTGTGAGAAAGAGGTGACCACAGGAGAACCCAAGCTGCTGGGGGCGTTGCATCAGCTAGTGCAAGGGCGGGGGCCACTCCCTAGTGAGAAGACGGCTGCAGGATGACACTGGTACAGAGCACACAACTCCCTTCCGGCCACAGCCTAGCTGCCTCCTGGTCACCAGGGCTCCTGGTATCTGGTGTAGACCGGTGCTGGGGCGGGGTAGAAGGAGGTGTGTGGAGCAAGGAGTGGGCGCAGCCACAGACATGATCTATCACTCTGGTCCTCTGAGCTCACCCACCGGGTTTCTGAGGGTAAGTTTACTGCAGACCCTCAGAGTCCAGGGCCAAACCCTAGAATGTGTCTTAAAGGCACTGCCTGTCCCCCACCTAAGCAGCCACCAGGTGATAAATCAAGAACGCATCTTTTTATCACCTCCCTACAACTTTAGCTCCGTCACCCACAATCACCCATCTGAGAAACCTGGGAATCATCCCAGAATCACTTCCTGATTCCCACTTCACTCCCTGAAGTGCACTCCTCATTGCATTTCTCACTGCAACTGTGGCAATCCCTCCCAACAGGGATCCACACGCCCACCTTCCACCAGCTCCCCAAGTCACACAACTGCCGGTGTGCTGTGGAGCCAGCCCAGGACACATCCCTGCTGTGCTTATGCCAAGGGGCCTCCCGCTGGACCCGGAAGGCCTGCTCCCACCATGGCTCCCCTGCTCTCCCCAGCGTCCTGTTGTCTAGAACTTGGCCCCATCATCCCCCCAGCCCACCTGTCTGCTGGTGCCTCTGACCTTGCTCCCACCCGGCACCCCCACTCTTCCTCCCAGAAACCCTGTGGCCACAGCCCCTGGCACCTCCTGTCTCTCACCCACTGTGCTATGAACACCTTGAGAGCAGAGACTGTGTTGTCATCTTCTGCTCGCCGTAGTCAGCCCCAGACAAAATGACTGAATACTCTTCACACAAGGAGTGGTAACGCTGCACATCTTGGATGGGACTCGGTGTGTGAGCTGGAGACTGGGGTGGCCACACAGAGGGGGACTAAGCCCCAAGCAAGCAGTGCAGGCAGTGGGGGACAGGGTGGCGGGAAAGGCAGTACAGGGTTGGGCGGTGGCAGCAGCAGATGGGCCCGGCTGGAAGGACGATAGAGGCAGGAGGGCCTGAGCTCCAGGATCACACAGACCTCGGTGCAAACTCCACCCTGGCCACCCACCAACTCCATCTTGGGAGAAGCACTCCACCTCTCTAAGCGCGTCATCCTTCCTAAGGGAGCGCTCAGAGGGGCTGTGGCCAGCATGAAGTGAGAGGAGAACTCTCTGTGCTCTGCAGATCCCCCTCATCTGGGCCCACCATAAGGGTACAAGTCAGGCCCTGCCTGCCCTGCCTCACCTCCTCCCCGTGCTGGCCCAA